AGGGGTAATCGCAGGAGTCAACCCAGTCGAAGTGCAATGAAAGGGCCTCATCCTGAGAGGACCTCCTAGTTGATCAAGGTGCCTCTCGCGTCAGGTAAGTATGCTGTTGTTTGCGCCGCTCACCCTATATACGCGATGATGATGACACACGATTGTGGTACTTGGGGGGTTTCCCTCTTGTCTTGAACGTCATGTGCCGCGATCTAGAGAATGAAAAAGTATGTTAGTAAAATTAGATGTAGTTGATTCGGTTCATAGCCGAATGAAAACACGCTCACAAGGTGTAAAATATCGACATAGGATAATAGTAAAATTTTGCAAGTCATATGATATGTATGTTATATATGCATGAGAAAGCCGAGATATATTATTTCACGTGGTATTCGAGTATGGTGTTAGTATAAATCTATCGGCATGTGAAAAGTACTTAAGTGTGTGTAGTCGTCTAATAAACTAGAGATTGCTTTATAGTTTGATTTGAAATAAAAAAAAAATGTTCTTCCCCGTGTGGGGAAGGGGCCGTACTCGGATGTAGTGCAATACCGAGACAACCCGTGGCCAGGGCGAAGCAAGCTTCAATCCCATGGCCAAAGTCCAAAAATCAGTTTAATATATGAGTTAGGCATTGCCTAACATATCAGATATTAAGCTGATAAGAACAGAAATTCTTATCGAAAATGTCAAAAAAGTGATGGGACCAGACCTAAGCTATAGGATTCATGATATCCATTTATGCACTAAACTGAAAAGGTCACTTGTAATATGTAAATAAAAGGGCTGCAACTAACATGTAATTACTAAGTCAATGAGCTGGGATATCTCATTACTCACTCAAAAATCTATGTCATGACATTCAAGTAACGACTAGGCATCTAAAAAGTGCAGTAGAGAAAACAAATAATAAAAATTGGAAATATAAACAACTTAAGAACGTAAAACATGTATGGCAATTCCATAGACAACTGTCTAACACGGCCAAGATCAGTTGGTTGACCTTGTACACATTAAAGAGCAGGAGCCGGTGTCGCATCATCCCAACCTAGATGTAGGCGGTAGATGTTGGTCGACCCTTGGATTGCATCAGAACAGCATAACTTTCTGAACAAGGATTTATAACGTCTGGTCATGCCCAACTTTGTCAGCAGCAGTTCGTTTTGCTTGTACCACGCGCCCAAGGCACCAACAACAAAGGGATAGATCTCGCACTTTTTACCATGAGAGATGAAGTGATCTTTGAGAACCAGATATTTGTTGAACTTGGCTTGGGCTGCATCAGATAAGGCATCTACATCGTTGTCAAAGGGGCAAGTAACATCAATTATTAGAACTTCATTCTTCTCCTCGACAACAATGTCTGGTCTTAACCTCAAGCCTGATGTGCGAACAGTTTTGTCCGTGGTGATCTCCCCGAACCGTACAGCATTGGTAAGACGATCAACGATCTTGTTGTGACGATCACGAATCTGCATCATTTGTGGGCAACAATGACAAACCACGTGTGGGAGGGTTTCTGGTTGGGGACAGTGGCGACATGTACTGGACGCATTAGAAAAACGACTCTTGTTGGCATTCAACGGAAGAACATTCAGGCGAGCACGATGAATAAACCTCCAATCTTTGAAACGTATATTGAGGCCTGTCATGTGCCAGGATGAACCGTTCGCATACTGGTCACCAGTAAGACAACGAGCAACCTTGCCTTGGTCCGGAAGGGTCATGAGCGCATCAGCATACCGCTGCTGAACAAGACGATGAAGAAAGAAGGTGATTTCTTTGGATTTAATCTGGTCTGACCCGTCAGCAATAACACATGGTGGGTTATTATCAGAGAATATGAAGGTGACATGCTGCCTACGACAAGCTGATCGAACACGAGACCAAAGGGACGAATGCGTAGAATAGTTCAACTTGTCCAACCTAGGATCTTTGTCAGCCGAGAGGTACTTCGTAATAAGTTCAGCCGTAGGATTGGACTGAGCAGTTCTACGTACAAAGGTCTTCAGTTCTTCGCGGGCGATCTTGGCAACAACTTCGTCACTGGAAGAGAGGATTCGTATAGCCTGCACAATCGCTTGCAGGTCCGATTCAATTGTTGGATCTTGAAACGCAAGGCCACCGACTCGTTTACTGGCGAAGAAATAACTACCAGATGCTCTCGTTGGGAGGGAACAAATATCACGTAGGGCTTTAACCAACAATGAGCGATAGTCCCGCAAGGATTGTTTAAGGGGATTACCAGCTCTCAACGCATATGTTAAGCAGGGTTGGATGAATGTTCGAATTGCATCCAGCTTCTGCCACGGGGCAAGAAGAGAAGAACGAATCGTTTCAAGGTCACGAATAAGGCGTGGAACGATGTTTGGAATGTCATCAATGTTGTGTATGAGACCAATTGGAACCCCAAGATAGCGGTAGGATTCTTCATTCTCTAAGGCAGGAACACGTGTACCTTGAACAAGGAATTCATTGACTTCCGTCCTAACTGTTCGTTTACCATCAGTAACCAAGGAGATGGATGCACACTTATCCGGTCTATAGGAGAAACCAAGGATGGTAGCACCGTCAGAAGCCTCATCCAGTAATTTCTGTAGGGCATGTCTACTACGTGCAATTATGACAAGGTCATCTGCATAAGCCAGGCAGGAAATAGTGGAACCATGATATACACAGGCACCCGACTTCAACTTTGACGCCTTCTTCTTGACCATGCGCAGGATCAGTTCAATACACAAATTGAAAAGGATGGGGCTCAACGGGCAGCCTTGTTTAACTCCAGCCTCAACTGGTATTGGTTCGGTAGTCCCTTGCGGCGTACGAACCACTGTAGTAGCACCACGATAGGCATTCATTATCAATGCAATTAGATCAGCAGGAACACCGATATGACGAAGGGTAGCTCGAATGGTGTTATGGGGAACACTACCGAAAGCATTACGAATGTCCAACCAAGCAAGGAACAATTTCTGCTTCCGACGTCTGGCATCTGCAACCAGAGACTTTAGTAAGAAGGTATGTTCGTAACAGCCCTCAGATGGTCTCGCACTTTTCTGTTCATCAGATAATATACCAGCTTCGATAGACCAACGGGTTAAACGCTTTGCAACTACCCCCATCAGCAGTTTGTAGATCACTGACATGAGAGCAATTGGCCGAAAGTTACTAACATCACGATCATCACCTTTCTTATAGATAAGGATGGTTAATGCCTCTTTCCACGGCTGGGGAACATCCTTCTGACGCTGACAACGATTAAATATGAGAGTGAGAATCTTTGCAGCTGGGTCAATCTTTTTCAGATGACTATACTCGCAACGATCAGCACCAGGGGCAGTATTCGCAGCAGATCGAAGTTTGGCCGCTACTTCACTCTCCGAGATTTCTGAATATAAGTCCTCAGTGTCTTCGTGATCCACCCCAGTCGGAACAAACGTGTTGAGTCCTTCACCTAAGACACTAGCATTAGCACGTTTCTCATCAAACACATCTGTGAAGTAGGTATGAGCATCCTCCAAGGTGCCCCCATATGAGACGGTATTGTCATTGAGGAGCTGCCGAGCTGCACGTTTCTTCGAATGTCGGTAAAGTCCTTGTATCCGTCTAGCAGCAACCGGGTCAAATCGAGCAATAGGCCGACCGTTCGCAGGACGCCTCGGAGGAGGGGGATCAGGGTTTTTGTTGCGCACACGAGCACCAGGTGGCTTAATAAGATCAGAAGCCAGAGAACGAGCTTCCGAAGCAAATTCAACACACTGATCCGTAAACTGCTGCCAGGTCGAGTCTTCCGAGAAAACAGCACGCCACTTATTGTGAAAATCAAGCAAACGTTGTTGATCTTCGCCTGGGATGGGTAATGCTTGGGAATCGTTAAAAGCATCAACATCATCATCATCACCAGCTTGATTCGCACGAGGAGGGGTATCTCTTGGATTAGGCCGCGGCGGTGGTGGAGGAACAGGGGGCCTAGGTGGTCGAACTTGAGCGGATGGTATTGGCTCGTCATCAAGAGGGTCACCATCCATATCACCATGATCCGAGGGTGCAGATTCGTCATCAGGTAAGGGATTCACAACCTCAGAAGGGCTACTCACACGTCGTTTAGGGGATGATCTAGCAAGTTTCAACGCATCAGTTATAACCTGAGATAAGTTAGTTTGATGGCTCTTGTGGGTAGGATGCAGGAGACGAGTTACAGGGGGCGGGGGTGCAATTACATCATCAACACGAGGTGACTCAGAAGGTGGAATAGCTGAGGGCCCAGGGGGAGTATTGGGTGTCGAGGAGGAATTCGTACTCCCACGAAGTTTGATCAGGTCATCCAGTGATCCGGCGGGGGACAAAGATGATGTTGGAGACATTGCCAAAACTTCGGCTGTGTGAAACACAGAGCGTAGAACTCTCAACGCCTCCTCACGAGTCTCACGATCACGCTTGACGGCAGGATCCTCAATTTCATCAAGGACAATACACTCCGGGGATTCAGGAGGGGATGGTTGCCGGGAAGAGGTTGAACATGTTATTACCCTTGCATTCTTCTGAGACGCTTTAATAATATGACGAAGTCATTGGACGGCAGGTCTCCCTTCGCCGGCTGTGCAGTAGAAACAATTCTGGTCTCATGACCCGCAACAGAGCAATGAGAATGCACTGTGCACGAGGTGGGACTCTTGGATAACTTTGATTGTGGGTGATCACCGAATAAATCACTGACTTTGGATGGAGAATCACTCGGCGACAGGGATAAGGGTGGGGATGGTTGGTGGGTGGGGGACCTTTCAGGAGAGGGAACATTGGAATTGGTGACAACAGTATGACCAAATGGTGTACAATCAAGTTGACTCGACGTAGGGTCAAGAAAATCAGGCGTCCTGGGGGAAATAGGTACTACGGGAGAAGCGGAGGATGGTTCACTTGGATAAACCGATCGTGGTGGGAGGTCAGGAGGCGAGTCCGAACAGGGAAATAGATCAGGTGAGGGGTTGAGGGACTTAGGAGAAGTTGGAGGCGCGGTCGAAGGTTCAGGGAGCACAGGTTCTGGTGAGGAGGGAATATGGGTATCATCAAACGTAGAATCATTTGACGCTATCGAAGGACTAAGGTTATCAGCTTGAGAGTGCTCACCAAATTCGGGCATTGCAAGGGAGGGAATGACCAAAGCGTTGCAGGAATCAGGGGACTCCAAGGAGTCAGTCTCCGAGGGTTCACGCAAGGATGGGTCCAGTAATTCAGCAGTAGGTCGAGAAGGTAATGACAAAGGAGTGGAATCCTGCGTAGGCGAGGATTTTGTGGTGTCAGTAGTGTCACGAGGGGTTACCGAGGCCAAAATACTCTGTGCAGGGACAGCAACCGAGGGATTGGCAGACGACGAAGTATCAGTGCTACCACGCAACTTAACCAGATCTTCACACGCAGAATTCGGAGAGGATGGAGAAGCAGGGGACTTTGCTAAATCTTCAGCAGCTTTAAATACCGATCGAAGAACATTAAGCGCTTGATCTCGATTAGCACGTTCATCATAATACTTAGTGTCAACATCATCATCAATGACTATACACTCTGGCGAACTAGAAGGTAACGGCCGGTGGCGGGAAGGCGAGGATGGAGGAGGGGAAGACTGTAAACAGACCACGGTTCTCTCACGTTGCCGGGGCACCTTAATAGCATGGCGCAAATCATCAGATGGTAAGTGACAAACAGATGAGGGCGATGAGGTAAGGACCTTTCTAGAATCATGAGTAACAGGTGCTGCAGGTGGACCTTGATGGGCAACTACACGCTTGCGGGGGGGAATCTGGGACGCCAAACAAGGTGGTACAGGCTCTTCACCAAACAGTTCATTAGCTTGAGATGGAGAGTCATTAGGGGACAAGGATAAGGGAGGGGATAAGTGTTGGAGATCAATGTCAGAAGATGGATTTTGGTGGTCCTGAACTTGAGATGAATCCAAAAACACAGGC